AAAAGGTTTGTAGCCCGGTTTTTGGCAATTGGGGCAGGTGGAGGGTGGGGGGACTTCAACTCCCAGAATTCCCCAGCCAGCCATGCTGGGAGTTGAAGTCCACACATCTTCAAGCTGCCAAGGTTGAGCAGCACTGTTGTATGCCATTCAGTATTGCTGTATATTCTGACCTCATTTGATCATAGAAGCGTGGGCCTCTTTAATGGAGGAGGGAATGATGCTGTGACTTAGATGTTTGTGTCAGAGGTGCCACAAGTACACAATCGTGTTTATGTGATGATGTCATTGCACACATGAAGTCACTCTGGCATCCTAGCAGTTTTTGTAGATCCTGCTGTGCAGAAGGGCATTCGGTGGGGTTTACCCTAAGGGGCACCTTAACTTTCTGTTCTCTTCTGCTGGCAGAAACCACTTTCCCTTCTGCGCTATTAGAAGGTAGCTGTGCTGGCTGGGGCTCCTGGGAACTGTGGTTCCAGGATCAGAGGTTATTTACCTCTGCTGTAGAACTCAAACATAGGCTTGATCTGATTAAAACCAAGTCAAGAAACAAGCAGAAAAAACTGCTCCTGCACATGCAGGGAAAAAAGGGTAAATCTCAGCCAGGGATGTCTGTAGGGTGAGGGTCAAAAGAATCAAGATGGCGGCCACAGTGGAGGGATTGAAGCTCCACCCATTTTTAAAGGGTGTCGCGGGTGGGTGGAGTTTCATTGCACCCCGGTGGCTGCCATGCTGACTTTTGTAACCACTCCCTGCAGGCGTCCCTGATCTTGTTCCTGCCTGTGTGTGTGATTCAGCCCTGTTCACATTGCAACACCCCTCCAAAACGTTGATTGTGACCCAAAAGTTAACAATTGTGTGGTTTGGGGGGCACGGGGGTGAGCTAACCAAACAATCAAACAATCCACACTGGAAGGAGAAACATGCACCTTATTTCCGCAGTGGATGGTTGGGGTGTGGTTTGTCAATATCCTACAGAAGGGCAAGGAAGAAGGCTTTTAAGCAATATGGCCGGTGGGGGGATTGTCCTCTATGCAATTTGATTTTCCAAGCCTTTTTTTTTTTTCCTTTTCCTTATATTATCATGATTAATAATGTGGAGATTACATTATACTACTATGCTGCTCTTAATTAGTTTCTTATAATAAATTATTTTTGAAATGGAGGGGGCATTGCTCTGGAGGGACAGATTGTCTGACCTGGTTTCAGGCATCTTCGGGGGGGGGCAGAATTTCTCCAGAGATGTTGTGTTTTTCTTTGGTCAAGAAAATATCACTTTTTTCAGCCCTTCTCTTCTCTTTGCCTTTAGCCTCCTCCCCACGGAAAATTTATGATACCCGGGAAGGGGGGTTTGGCAGGGACTCAAGCGCCACCATTGACTTTGATGAGGACAAATATCGGCGGCGGCCCACGCTGAACTGGCTGGCACAGCTGCTCAAGTGAGTTCCAAGAAACACCTTCCAGCTTGTCGGTTTGGGAATGGGCTATCCCCAGACTTGCGGTGCAGCGGCAGAAATTGGAGAATGGCCAAGAGTGATGTCAGGTCGCACGGGAAGGAAGTCATAAAATTAAGCTGAAAGCCTAATTTTCTCAAGAGTTTCTCTTCCTTGTGTGAGCTTTTTATGAGGCTTTTGTCAGATGAGGCTGAAAAACGGGCCACTTTATTTCAGGCGCAGTGCCAAATTCTGGCTGGCTTCTAAACATATTGTAATGGCTGTAATTCAATTCTGTTGTACCTTCTGGACACCTTTCCTTTCCCCCTCTTGTGAAGTTGTTAAGGATCCCCTCCTGCCAGCTCCGTCATTCCTTCACCCCTTCCGAAAGCTCTGCTGCTTAGCGCAGGGTTCGGCTCCTACGATCTCCCAGCTCGCAGTCCATGATTTGAAAGCACCCCCAAATAGGCAAAATCCAATTCAGAGCCCCAAGGGGCACCCTAACTTTCTGTTCCCTTCTGCCGGCAGGAACCGCTTTGGTGCCCGAAAGCAGCCACGCTCTTTAATGCAGAGGTTTGTCATTTTCCTCCTGATCGGCGGGATCGGCTTTCTCACACTTGTCATCATCATGATGAAGCTGGGGCGGGCCTCGGCCGACAACGACCCCAGTCTGGACCCCAAGTTCAACCCACATATCCGAGTGGGACAGTAATGAGCAAGGCCAGCCTGTCCTTTGTCACGTGGCCCCATACCCCATTCTCGGCTCTTCCTCTCCGCAGTTCCTTGGCAAAATTGGACCCGAGAGGGAGACCTGGGGTTGCAACTGCTGGGTGTCAGTGAGTTTCCCAGCCTGGATGAACAAGGCTGTTGGGACACCTTCAAAGCTTGGATGAAGGTATGCTGGTTAAAAGATGGCCCTCCATCTCATTCTCCTCCTCCTCTGTTCTGCCAATCAGGTGGGAGTTGAAAAATAATGCCTTTTGTTGCCCCAAAGGGCAGTTTTATTCAGAAATGCCAGGCGGGCAGTTGAGGGGCAGAATTAAACTGGCAACTTTAAAGAGAAAAATTGCCCCCCCTCTATTTGTCTTCTCTTGCTGCTACTCAATAAGTTTGTGGGCAAAAGAAGTCCTTGTCTCTTATCACAACCCATCTATCACTGCAGCCTTGCAGAGGAGATGTCCTGTGGGGCTTTCCCTGGGGCTAGTGGTTTCTCCATTGCTCTGTTTTCATTCTTGGATGGATGTTTGAGACTGTAATGATCTACTGGGAGTCAGGTGCCTGTTTTGCTCGGTCCATTGCCACCCAACCTGTAAAAATTTTTATAAAAGAGTGGGGCCAAGTTTACGGATTTCTAGTTCAAGTAATAGGGCCTCTGACCCTAAATCTATTTTGATGCTTGTGCACAGCCGCCTTTGGTTGCAAGAATACCAGAGCTTCACCCCCAAAAGGGAGCTTTGTCTAAGCTGGAGCAAGACCTGCCCACACCCCTCCTCAGTACTTTTCTTTCACACCCCTACATTCCAGCCTATCTCTGCTGCTTTGTCTGCACAAGGCAGCTGGGGCATGGGGGGAGGAAACAGGCTTCTTCCCCCTTTCTCTGTAATCGGAAAGAAATGGGAAGGACGACAGCTGTCCGTCTTTGAGATCCCCGTGACAGGTGTCTTCTAGGCGTTGGTGCTTGGGGCCCATTTTGTAGGACCAAATGCTGGAACCACAGTGCTTCTCTTGGTGGTGATTTGATTGGCAGATGGTCCAGCTGCTCTGGCCATGAGAGGTGGATGGTTCCTCAGCGCTTAGGTTTTGCAGTGCTTTACTCAATAGGCCAGACGCTTCACATCAAAAATGAAGGCCTGAGCAGACCCATGTCCTTGTGCCCCACTCTTCCTGGTGGTCCTCTTGGTTCTAGAGAGCCCTCTGCCTTCCAGGTTCACCTTCAGCAACATTCCCCACCCCCAGATTCAAACAGTTTCTTGGGAGGGGTGGCAGCAACCATGTCTTCTCCAGAACCACCTTACTTGCAGATCTGTTAAGTCAATAGCTTCACTAAAAGTGGCAGCCCCAATCGGTTTGAAGGGCATCTGGTGAAAAAAAAGGCTTCTCTCGTCCCTGATCTTCAATCAAGAAGGATGAGGCAAGGCACCTCTTCCCACAATCCTTTGCAGGAGCCTGTGTTTGGGAAGGATTGGGCTGGTGAAACTCTGGTAAATGACCTGTGAGGTTTATGTCCTCCACGTGCTTTGGATGTAGGAATGGTGAGTGTGCAAAGCTCTGGCACATTGAAGCAATAGAGATATTTGTTAATATTCTATTAAACTCTCTTGGCTGATCCCAAGGGGTGGCTGTTACTCCTTTGTTGCTCCTTCAGAGGTACACGCTGGAATAATGTGAACGAGCCTGCAAAGTTCATCTTCTGTCTCTTGTCATCCCTGGTTCTTTTCGATCAATCATATTTTTCTTCTCTGTACTCAATGGTGAGATAGTCCATCCAGAATCGGGCATTGTACATAGCAAAATTCAGGGCTGGATAAAAAGGAAAGGATCATATCAGAACCATTGAATTTCCCACAGAGAAGTGCTTCGACAGTTCTCCCTGCTTTTAGGGGTTCCCGACAGGTGCTACAGGCGTGCTCAAGCACATCTCAAATCACAATTTGTCATCAAATCCAGATTGCTGCACCCGCTGCCCAAGAGAGGAAGAGCAGGGAGGGCTGATCTGAATGTGCTAGTATTTAACTGGACTGGCTCGACCTGCAAAAGCAGCCCGTTGCATAGCCAAGTTCATGTTGAACCATGGTTTGCTTAATCAAGCTATGTTGAGCAAACCACAATATTTTATTTATACAAAGGCTGGATTCTCACTTTTGCTGAGCTGTAAACCATGATGACAAGAGTTTGTACTAACTAAGGTTTTGAGGGGGTTTTTTTAAGTGAGAAAATGGGTCTCTTTGTTCTTCTTGGGTTGGTGACTTAATTAGGAAAAAAAAAGATTTTGTGGGTACCAGTCCACAGTCTAAAAATCTAGGGAAAGCAAAGCGTGAGAAGTTTTGATGCTTTTGTTTTTAACAGGGAACAATGCAGTGTGGGATTTTCCAGGTCCAGCCAACCCTTCCTCCTTTGATGCACTTAAACTTTGGGAAAACATCCTCTCTCTCAGAGGCTGCACAACAGTGCTTTCCATGTTTTTCTGTATATTTTAACAACTCTGGGGCTGGAAGATGCTCAAGCAGGGTTGGTTGAAGTCTGTGAAACTGCAGTGAAGGAAATTGGAAAAGTCAGTTTGTGGCAGGAAAAAAACTCATGTAGGGCGTACATCAGTGTTTCCCAATCTTGGCAACTTTAAGATGTGTGGACTTCAGCTGCTGACTGGGGAATTCTGGGAGTTGAACTCCACACATCTTAAAGTTGCCAAGATTGGGAAACACCGGCCTAGATGGTAGAAGGATTGGAGACTAAGCAATAGCTAAAAGAAGCTGTCTTATTACCCCAAGCAACTCTCTGTTCTTCCTCCTCCTTCACGGGGTCTTACCAAGGGAAGTCAGAGCCAAGCACGTCAAGAAGCCGTCGTCTGCTTGCAAGGTGTAGATGCTCGCTAGCAGGGCCCAATAAAAGCTGGTCACGTGGGAGAACTGTGAGAAACCCAAAGAAGAGGAAAAGAACGGATGGTCTCCCATTGCAAAGAGCAGAGCAGCAATTGAGGCATTGCGCTATCTGTTCCCACCTGACTTTTTAAAAACATTGTTTTAAGAAAATAGGAAGATGATATGCTACCAACAGGAATGTTAGCCTCTCACGCCATATCAATTTGCAGGAATGACTTGGGTCCCCCAAAAGGGCCTTCAGGGATGGCAGAGTTTGCCTTCTGGTAAATGGTGGCCATTTTGTGAAAGTGCCTACCACATGTTCTCAAAATTCTATATGTGCCTTCACCCCAAAGGTTACCTACACCTTGCTTTCTCTTTACAGCTTTGCAGCCGATCTCTCAGAAGAAATTGCCACCCAAAAGGGAGGTGGGGGGAGAAATTGCCTAAAAGAGCTCATTCCAATAACATGGGCCCAATTGGCTGGGTTCCCACAACACACTCAGCCTGCATCCCAGACTAACAAAACCAGTTGGATTCACCTAATGTGATGCCCAAGTAAATAAACCACATTCTGGCTTGATGTGATGGGCTGGTTCCCATAACATGCTAAGACAAGGGCTGGGTTCCCACAGTACCTAGAATAGCAAAATGTCTTGACCCCACTTTAGCTTTGAGTGTTGGGTGAACTCAATCATTTTTGGGGGGTGCAATCTGTTGCTTTAACCAATCTACTGGAGGCAGGAAAGGGCTTTCGGATGTTCACAAATGTCATGTGGCAGGACACCTAAATCAGGAAGGGCAACCTCATTCCTAAAATGTGTGCCCTGGAACCTAAAACAGTCTTATAAAGATAGAATTGGTTATCCTTGAAAAAAGACTCAAGTCTCCTGCAAACAGCTCCCTACCCCCATATGTAGGATTAGGGAACATGGGAGGTGTAATTTAAAATAGCAGAAGGGAGTGGGAGGGTTTATTTTTTTAGTTTTAAGTGTGCCTTTGTTCACGGATTTGGACCACCTTTAAGCTTCTCACTTAAGTAGGTCTTGGGTCAGTCTCCTGTTGCAAGGCAGATGAGATCCACCAGCTTATCCTATTATACAGGGATTCACACAAGAATAATTTGTGGGAAGCATCTTTGAAAGCATCCTCTAGAAGACAAAGGATTTAATAAGGGATGGTGCCCCAATGTTGCAGTGGATCTCTCACCTGACCTCTTCTGGCATCCCCAGCTAGACGTTATCTATTCACCCATGGGTGAATTTGCAATCCCAATGCTCTTTGGGATGAGTGAATTGCAAAAGAGGGGAAGGAAGAGATGGGTTCTTTACCAGCAGCGATATAGTGAAGTTGAACTTCATGAAGTTCTCTTTTTTAGCCTCAGCGAAGAAGTGATAGAGGTCCCCAGTAATCACTCCCAAGTGGATGATGAACAGAAGCCAAGAGCCAATGATAAAGATGACTTTGCTTGGGAAGGTGAGAGTTATGAAAGGGTCTTTCCAGGAGCCCATCCTGTGGGTCCCTTGGCAGCTGGCCTCTTCTTAGCCTTAGGGGAGTTGTGAGGAAGGAGCCACTTCCTGGAGGAGATGGTGCCTTCAGAGATGCTGGGCTGATGAAGTCATAAGGATGCAGAGGTTCTAGAAGCCGAACAATTGGCAGTCTTTTCCCCAAAGCAGGTGGGTATCAGGTTCACCCTGCAGCAGATAATGGATCACTGAGGCAGCTCAGAAGACATCCAAACACTATGGATAAGTAATATTTACTGGACAAAGTAAGAAGTCATAGTCCAAGAATGGAAGCTGCTGCAGTGATTCAAGAACAAGCTCCATATAGAGAGGCAATGTTCAAGCTCTTCTGCACTTAGTTTTTCTTCCCACTCTACGTAATGGCTCACTAGGCCCCTCTTTTGAGCGCGCTGGGTTGTCTCCATCCTTTATTTTTCTGTAATGTTCAGATATGCCATCGTACTGTTTTTCTACTGGGTGTTGGGCCCTGCCCAAGAACAACAGGGAAAAGGTCCAGCCAAATTCAGTTCTTTTATTGCTTACACCATATAGACAGAATCTTGCCAGACTAAATCTGAACTACTCTAACCTAGTGGATATACCCTGGGAGATTCTAGGGAGTGGCTATCCTAAGTCTCTTCCCACACTCCTGCTCCAGACTATGCTGTCTCTTGCCTCGCCCCCTTCCTGCAACGTGCTCCCTCCTTCCTGAGAACCTGCTGCTTTATTGCAGTCCATCACATCTCTTCCCCCTTCGTAGATACATTCCATCACACTGAGTGAGAATTGACTCAAATGAGGTTTGTATAACCTGCCTTTGGAACAGGATTGAAAAGCAATCTAGACATAGTGAAAACATTAAGTAATATGGAAATGAGAGATGTGGAAACTGGCAAAATCTCCTTGGACAGATCATTTCACGATGGAGAAAGAAGCATGGGAGGGACAGGGTTGTGAATTCTCAAAACCGAAGATTCCTGGGCCAAAAGCTGGCCAGCTCCGAACCCTTTGGGCTGCATCTTGTGCCAAATGGAGCAAGCATGCAGGATAACATAATGCAGAAAGTTCATTATTTTGCAAGTGGGATATATTTAGCAATGTGAGTGTCTCCGTAAAAAGAAAAATAAGGTTCATTACTGAGATGTGGTTCTAAATCAGTGTTATTAACTGAGATTTTACACAGTCTATGTTTTCCCAGGTCCAACTAGGCATAACCAATGCCTTACATTCTGAAATGATTCTAAGCATTCAGGAACCCCACAAAGAAGACTCATTCCTATATTCAGCAGTTAAAATGAAGGAGCTTCCCCATTCAGAATACTGGAGTCTGATTCTTTATAATGAGAATGTTGGCACTTTTAATTGTTCATTTATTTATTTATAGCATTTATTTATAAATTGAACACTACATGGACTCATGATGGTGTACAATAAAAATAAAATTAATGATGACAGCAGTATAGAGATAATACCGAAATAATAATCCTTACAACTCTCAGAGCATTTTATAAACTAAATCCTAATATAATATGCTGATGACAGGTTTTAACTAAACATCCTTCTGAACATAAGATACATCAATGGTTACCGATAAAAACCTTGAATTCAGTCAAATTCAAAACAATAAGGTAGAACATTGTGATATAAAATACGCATTAACATTATATAAAACATGCAAGATGAAATGAACAATTAGATAAGGAATTCTACATTTACATTTTCAAAACAAAGGGATTTTCAGATAATGTATTGTGTAGGTGATTTTCAGCTAACCTATTGTGTGGGTGATAAAGATCCAGGGGATTGCTCCAACTTCTAACATTTCTTAATGCAAACACTGCTTAAGATATATAAGGCTGGGTTTTCACTGGTGTGTCTTCACTTCAGTCTGCTGCAAAAAAATCCAGTATTTTTTTTTTAATGTGGTAAAAAGAGATTTGGTAATAATGTCATTTTTAAAAATCTAAGGCATAATTCCAACAGTCTTTCCTTTTTCATCCTTGCTTCATTTGCATAAAAAGATTGACTTTGTATGCAGATTAACCCAGTTTTCTAAATTCTCACAGTATATTAAATCACAGAACCTCACCAAGATTAGAGCTACTTTATTGCATGAACAAAGCCAGTGTTTTTTACTGAATATCTCTCTCCAAAGTAATACGCTCTCCAAAAATGCAGAAAGCCCTTCATATTTCTATGGTGGCCAAAAATCAGGAATCTGGTAGCAATCTTTTGACTAATTTAGGCAGAAGCTTTCAAACGGAAAGGAAATTCCCGGAAGATATTTTAGGGAAAGATTAGCTTGTCTACTCTTCTGCTTCCCTGGTTAGAATCCCCTTACCTATATAGCTTTATCTGTCAGTTTTGTTAGGTTCGCACAACCCACTAATCCCAGGCAAACGGTGTCTGCATTGATCTAGCAAGCTGTATCCAAGGAAATGCAACGTATTTTGGCTCAACCCAGTGACCTGGTTCCCACAACATACTGCGACACAAACTACCCAACCCATGTTATGTGAACCTAGCCCCACCGCATTATACTGCAGGGCTGTTAGTCCTTGCCTGTGGGCCGTGCTGGCCCGTACAAGAACATCTTTTAAATGTTTTTATTCACATTGGGATGAAATGAGACTGAAGATTGTTGGCCAAGGATTTCCAACAGATAGGTTTGCCGAGTACACCAGACTGAGTTAAAATAAACTTGGTTCATTCATGGTTCTGCATGTGGTAGGAGCAAAGCCTCTGTGGCTTCATTGGTTTTGATTTCCCATGATGGGTGGACCCAGACAATTGTTTATTCAGTAAACCATGGTTAAGCCAGGCAGTTGGAGCGCCTTCCTTTTTTGCTGTGCAACTGTGGATCATTCTTAGCACATATGTAGACTTTCTTCTTAGTGCATAAAAGCCGAGATGGCAGGGTCTCTGAGGCATAATTCCTTCAATATTATGTGCACACACAAAAATACATTAAACCTCAGTTGTGTTTCATTAGCCCAGATTTAGTGTGGATTCAAGCCTACAGCCATAGTTAATAGTGGGCAATATTGGCCTGTGAATATAGGCGTGTATTTCTTAACATGCTGGGTGAACAAGCCAATTCTATTTCACTAACCCGGGTTTAGCGTGACTCAGAAAACTGGGTTAATTCAAGGATCGACCGAGCCGAGTATCCTCTACAAGCACGGCACATTATATGCGCACACTGAGTTTGGTTTACACAGGCTTCAAGTCCGACAGGGGGTCGTGCGAATCGAGAACGGCGGGTACGCACATCGTGAGAACGCACCTCCGACATTCAGCCTCGCCGACCCGCCTGGGGGGCCCAGCTGGAACTCTTCCGGAAGCGTGGGCGTTTCCGGAAGTGCTCTGCGCCCCGCGGGACAGGCGAGCGGCGAGTCTCCATGGAGACGGGCGGACTTCCTGGTTACGCCACCACCGCGACGGAAGTGCTCCACGGGGGCGTGGCCAGGGCGCCGGGGCCCTTTTTCGGAAGGCGAAGAGCGGCTATGGCGGCGCCTCAGTCCGAAGGCGGTCCGGAGCCTCCGGGCGGGAAGCGGCGGCCGCACGGGATGCTGAAGCTCTACTACGGGCTGCCGGACCCGGCGGGCGAGGCTTTGGTCGACCCGGCCAGGGGCGACCTCGGGGGTCCCACTGACATCAACGGGCCCCACTTCGACCCGGAAATCTACCTCACGAAGGTGAGGGGCCTGGGACACACCCCTCTGCCGAAGGTGCCTCTGAGCGTGAGCAGAAGGCCTGCAACGCTCGAGGAGGGCCCTTTGGCGTTGGTTTGCTCCTTCCCCATACTCCGGGGGACTACAACCCCCATCATCCCTCTTGGTCCTGGTGGCTGGAGGGTTGTGGAAGCTGCGCTCCAGCCGTCCTGGCGGGCCCTAGATACAAAGAAGCTGGCGTGAGGAGGAGAGTAGATCCGAGGACCACGAGCAGAGTGCTTTGCCCTGCGAAAGAGGGAAAGTCGTTGGTGTGCGTTTTAAAAGATCGTTTTTAAAATCAGCAGGGCATCTTTAGATTGCCAGCTTAATCTAGCGATGTGGTAGCGCTGCAGAACAGCACAGGTGCTTTAGCGTGTTTGGGTTAAGCCGGTAGGGACGATGCCGTGATAAATCTGCTGGAGCAAAGGTTAAGGCACAGCAGAATGGGGGGATAGCCCAGAAAAGGGGCCTGAAGCAGGAGAGCCCCTTCCCTTCCTCCCCCCTAACCAGGATGATCAGAGGGATGAGGGGGTTGTAGTTGAACAGCACCTGGAGGCTCCCAAAGTGTCTATTTCCGTATGGAAGATTCTAGTAAGTAGGACTACTGTATGGTCAGTGGGCCAACAAAAAGGGAGCTGGGGAAGCTCTGGGCACGCTCTTGTACCTTCCTCCTGCAGTTTTTCTCCAATGGCCAGAGAATGGGTGGGGAGACCCAGGTTCCAGCTGGTGCTTGACTGTAAACTGAGCTGATAGTTGTTCTCTGTCAGCCCAGCAGACTTGGCAGGGTTGTTGTGATGATAAAATGAGAGAAAAGGCAGGATGTAACTGGAATACGGTAATGAAAATATTAGTTATGGTAATAGCATGGCCCATGAGAAAGTGACTGTAATGTCTCTTTCAAATTGAGCTTTTGGGAGGGATGTCTGCTGGGGAAGGGAATAAAAAAAAGTCAGGATGTATATAGTAAACTAGTGGGGCTTTGATATCATAGCCACGGCTGCCATCTTGACTTTTTGGACTCCTCCCCAGCAAATCCCTGCTTCTGGTGAATTCACAAGCACATCCATATAGCTTTCTTAGCAGCAATAAAGAACTGATCTGCCGTGGTTTTGGCATGGTTTTTCAACTCCCGGGTTATTAGCCCTGGAGTTTCCTGATGGTCTTCCATCCAAGTACGAATCTGCCCTGATACTAGTTAGCTGTTTGAAATCAGCCAGGCTTGGCCAGATGCTGCCACCTGCTGGGACAATAGCAAAGACAGAATGAAAGTCTGGCTTTGGATCAGTGAGTTAGTCAAGGGGGGGCCATAAAAAAACCTGCATCAGAGTCTTCCCCAGTGAGCCCGCCCTCTCTGGAGATGTTGGCTGGGATCCAGCCGGAGGCTTCCACCTGCAAATCTTGCAATGAAGACAAAAGAATAAGTGAAGTTGTTTTTTGCTACCAACAGTCCCTGCCTCTTACCACCTCCTTATCCCTTCTACCAGCTGCGGAAGGAATGCCCCCTGGCTCAGCTGATGGACTGTGAGACAGACATGGTGAAGCAGATCCGAGCCCTGGATAGTGACATGCAGACGTTGGTCTATGAGAATTACAACAAGTTCATTTCTGCTACAGGTAATTTGAGGAGGAGAACTTCCTGGCCTCTGGAATGTGTAAAGACTTGAAGAATTAATTGATGTTTTCTCCACAAAGCTCTCGTTCTTACTTTCAAGCCTTCAGTGGTTTAGGACTGTATTGCCTAAAAAACTGTCTCTAGGTGTATCCTCCTGACCACGATGTGCAACTGAAGCGTTTTTCCCTTACCCTCCTTCTCTTAGAGAAGGTTTTTCTACAGTGGCCCTACTTCTGAGGTCCATCAGGCCAGATGACTCTCAGCTTTTAAGGAGGCAGGCAGTAAATGGACTGCAGAAAGCTGAACAGCCACAAGATACCAGCAAAGAGTTAGTGTTTTCTCTGTGTGTCTGTGTGTCATTTGCATTTTTGCAGCTCTGATATACTGACTAATTTAAAGAAAAACCTAAAGACTTCTTGGCTGGATTTACACTAGCTGTTTAACTTGGTCATGGAATTACCCTGTGTTCTGGGTTTGCATAATATGGGAAACATAAAGTAACCAAACTGGCTGGATTATCATAATGCACCAAGCCACTAACCCCAAATGCTAACCAAGCTTAGTGTGTTCTGCAAATGTATCTTTCTCTGACAGGATCAGTGTATGACATTCCTCTTCACTGGTTTTGAGAATCTCTCTTGCTGATTGTGACTATCTTTGAAACAAAGCTTTAGTTTTATTATTTGTTGTATATGATTTTATGTTTGTAAACAAAGATTTTTGCCTTAAAAGCCTTCCAAGGTATTTATAGTTTGAGATTTTCAGAGGAAGAGAAGGAATAGGCTATTTTATTTAACACTAATCCTCCAGTTCTAGCCCCACAGTTGCCAGCCATTTGAGCAATAGCCCCCTCTTGCCTATGGTACATGGAAGAGAGGGCATGTAGGCTTTGAAACATGTAGGCTTCACTGAGCTAAAGAAGCAGTGATCACTGATAGAGTTACAGTCCCAGACACTGTAAGCTCTCATTTTAAAGATATCCAACATATAAGCATTTTGAGGCCGTTTATATTATTCTTAATGTTTTATGGTAATTTTAATACTTTTAAGATGCTTTTGTTATTTTCAAGATTGTGTGTGTGTGCTCTGCTTTGATGTCTTCCAGTAGAAAGGCAAAGTAGAAATAATAAATGTAAAAATGTACAAAGTATTTGACATCAGTATTTGTGTTTGTCTTCTCTTTGGCCTTGGGCTGATCAGTTACTACTGTTTCCATCTGAATAACTCTTAGTGATGTATTTTTATGATTATGCAATGTGATGCTCTGGGAACATTCAGCATTGCAAGGCCTGTCAAAAGCCCCTCCCCTGAGAAGTCCACAAGAGTTGGCTGAGATCGCAGGCTCTGTTCGTAGTGGCTCCCATGCTCTGGAACATGTTTCCTCTAGAGGTATAAGGGGAAAAAAACTGCTAAAACATTTCTCTTCTGTCGTGCCTTTGGCCGTAATTGTGAGCACTTCATCTTAGTGTATTTTGATATGTTTTTGGTATGTTTGTCTTGGTATGTGCATCTTTATTTTAATTTCTATTCAAGTTTGCTTCCTTGTGGTACACCCAGAGTCTTACCATTGGGGCAGTCTACACATATTGTAATTAAATAGCACAGTTTACCATGTTGATTAAAGGCAGAGGACCTGTTGTTCCACACTCAGAATGGGCTGTGCGACACATGGTCATCAAGGCAAGAACCCTCCAGTCTTTTCCTCTGTTCCTTTCCTTTCCCCCTCTAGACACAATCCGCAAGATGAAGAATGACTTCAAGAAGATGGAAGATGAGATGGATTGCCTGGCTGCCAACATGGCCGTGATCACGGAATTTAGTGCCAGCATCAGCGGGACCCTGCAGGATCAACACGAGCAGATCACCAAGCTGTCAGGTGGGTGTGTCTTGCTGACTTCCACACGCACAGGAGTTTTAGATGGATTTGAGGCTGAAGCATCAAATTGTGGCAGTGAATTTATTTGATCCCCAAAAGATATGGGAGGCTTAATATCCCTGGTCCCTCTGTGATAAGATTCAAGGAAGCATAGAGGCTTCATATAGTCTGTTTTGATAAAATATAAGTATCCATTTCCTGTTGCTATTCATACCAAAAAAAGATAGCTAAGCAGACATGTTAATTATGAATATTGTATCACTAGAGCTGCAAGATAAGAGGTGTCTAATTCATAGAGAGTAGTATGTTTAAATAATCCCTATCTTCATTATAAGCCTTATTGTCCCATAAAAGCCTTATTATCCCATGAGACTACAAACCAGTTGATTAATTCTATACCAGTGTTTCTCAACCTCAGCAACTTTAAGTTGTCTGGACTTCAATTCCCAGAATTCCCCAGCTAGCATGTTGGCTGGGGAATTCTAGGAGCTGAAGTCCAGGCATCTTAAAGTTGCCGAGGTTGAGAAACACTGTTCTAAACTGTTCCATAAGCTCTGTCCCTACAAGGTGCTTCTGCCTTGGCAGTATCCTTACACTGAAACCAATACAAGATGGTTGGAGAAGGATGTCCAGGAGAAGAATGAGAATGGTGGATGTAGATTTGGCATATAGGAGGCTCCTGGTTTAACTGCTTACAACTTCAAGAGGAATGTGTAGCTTCCTGTGATGGAATGGAATTATGAAGGCCAGACTCAGGGAGAAAAACGTTTTCTTTCATCTCCTGAGGCGCGAGGGAAAGATAAGAGGATCAGA